TTTTTTTTTTTTTTTTTTTTTTTTTTTTTTTTTTTTAAGACTTTCAAGAGCTACGAAAGAAACTGAAATTAGTCCGAGACACGAACAACCCGTTAGTCCCGTTCGCGATAGGTGAAATTCGATAATGGAACGTGCCTAAGGTAGATTCATAGACGCCGAATCGGAAAATCACTCGTGCGAGCAAAGATCATCCGGCGAGCGATTTTCAAACGTGCGGGTCCGCGTGTTTCTTTTGCTCTCGTTGTGATCATTAAATTAAAAAATAATTAACGAAAGTAGCTGAGATGACCGATAATCGCCAGCAACTTTATACCAGCGCGCTTAATGTTGTTGGACAAGAAAGTGGCGAACACCTGGGCAAGATACAGCCGTTAATAAACGGCTTTCACGACCGACCAGCGAGAGAGAAAGAAAAAGAAAGGGAGAACCGAAACAGAACACGAAAAAGTAAAATAAACTGCATATTCATGATGATGCTTGCAACCGTGTGAGTGCCATTTTGTTGAACGAGAGCCGCAGGGCTCGCGAAACCTCAGCTCGATAAGCAGTAAAAGCATCTCGTACGCCGGTACTCTGTTCTTTCGTACCTTTCTTTCTCGTTTCTTTTTTTCTTTCTCTCTCTCTCTCTCTCTCTCTCTCTTTTTTTAACCCTTTTAATTCCACACGACGATATATCGTCGTTAACTACACTCATGAAAAATGCCCAGGACGATATATCGTGCGTAAGTCACTATGTTTGAAAATAATGATTCTCCACTTGTTGGGCCGTGCTGCATCTTAGAATTATTTATCTTTTGACTTATATACTACGATACTCGCGTACATTGTTAACACGATCCCGTCTCGTCGATGACGCCGGTTGTCGTTCTCGAAACTAGACTTTCCATCGTTCGTTTTTGTTGCTTGTGTTTATTCTTCGAAAACGCAAACACGCTACCGTTTTCAATCATTTCGCAGTTGCAAATTTCAAACTAAATTTTCACATTATTTATTCGTCGTCGTTTGTTTACTTGTTTCCTTCTTTTTTTCTTTGTAATATTTCTTTATCTCTTATAACGCGTTTCTTCCTGAATTTTCTAGTTTATTTATCAGTGATTCTTTACTTTTTAATATGTTCCCCTCTGAATTTCGTAGCTAAGATTTAAAACTAAATGTTATTATTTATTTATTTTTTAAACACAGTGGCTCTTTATTTCCTTTCCCAATGTTCTAACAATAAAACTAAAATTTTATTATTTCTTCACTGTCCATTTGTCCATTGATCTTCGAAAGCGTTCCTTGTTCCGATTTTGTAACTAAATCGTTTCTAACTAAATTTTCTGTCATTCTTTTTTCTTTCTTTCTTTCTTTCTTTCTTTCTTTCTTTCTCAAGTTTTATTAAATCGCAACAATTTGACTCGACGCTTCCCTTCCGCCATTACTCCCGTCGTTTACTAATTAATACAAAATATTACAGCCGAGATCGCGATAACGACGAGTAAAACTTTCATCGGTATCCAATACTCGTAATTCACATTGTCATGCAAACGTCGTAATAAATAGCAGTAACCCGAGACTGGAGGATCGTATTGTACTTGAAAACGCATCGGTACAATTCATCGAAACTTCTTCCTGATCGTTATTAAAAGATCGATGATAATGAGGCACCATGAATAACAAACATAAAATAGATATCAGAAGTTTGTTCCTCTTTGTGTTGACTAATGATGCACGCATCGTGGTTAACTGCTCTTGTGAAAAATGTCAAGGAAGATATATCGTGTCTGAGTCGTTATATTTGAAAATGACGATTCTTCACTGGTTGGATGCTGTGCAACCTAAAATTACTCAGTATTTATCATCTGAAACAGACATTGGCTTTTTGTTTCTTAACGTGTTCCCCCCTTTTCTCAACTTTATAATGATCCAACCCTTTCATAATGATCCCGGCTATTTCTCAAATCTTTGACATTTACATTGTTTCTTAATATTGTTTTATAATAATTTAAATTCTCTTCTTGACACGTT